AAGACTACAATATGGTATATATGCAAGTACATATATAGGATATATTAGTAATTCAAGATTGAATTATTTAAAGCAACGAAGATCCAGCTCGGACCGTAATAGGCAGTTACATTATAGTATTAATTGAGTTTCTCAAATATACGGTCAAAATATAAATACATTGTTTTTTTTAAATAATATTTTTTAATATGAATTAAATTAAACTTAATTTAAAATAAATATTAAGATTAATATTTTATAAAACATGTATTGACTGAGTATTATTTCAGTTACTGACAGCGAAAATACAATACCAAAACATTTATCTCCAGATGTCATAGCAGCTCTCAAAGGTGTGCGTTTTATTGCTCAACATATAAAGGACGCAGATAAAGATAACGAGGTAAATTTTCAAATACCTTTTCTATATATTTTTCTATATATTTTCTTATAATATAGTAATTATTTGTCAAGTATCATTGTAACGATATTAAATTTTATCACTTATGATAGAAACGTTCATCCGTTCTCATAGGTCATAGAAGATTGGAAATTTGTAGCTATGGTTTTGGACAGATTCTTTCTTTGGATTTTTACGATTGCGTGTATCGGTGGCACACTAGGTATAATAGGTCAAGCACCTAGTTTGTACGATACGCGCGTACCTGTGGACCAACAACTGTCTAGTATATCATTGCGCAAGCATATGTATCTACCGAACACAACTTTTGATGACTAAGTATCATAGCATGTATAAAGTGATTCGTGTGTAAAGAGTAATCACATGTTATGTCGTGCGTATTCCATTAAGACACGTTTCACACCTTCTTTCTACCCGCAAAAAGTTATCTATACTTTTCCACATGATTCGTTCACGAAAACTATTTTTCAATTTCTTAAAATAATTTATTTAAGTAAACATGGTTGTTGTAACATACAATAGTTGTGTGAATTTTTCTGCGCATTAATGTCAAAGTAGATTAATTTTTTTGAATATTAAGGACAAAACTATGGGTTTTGAAATTGGTGAAATTGACTTGAACTTAGTATTATAATTTCAGGGGTTCACACTGATTAAAAATTTCCTCAGGAAAATCATAAAAAAATAGACAGATTGTGCTGTAGCGGCATATAAAAGTTTCGGTTGTTTAAAAAAATTGGTAGTTTGGTAGTTATAATATTCGAGAGCAGGTACGCTAGTATGTGTGCTCTAGATTCCAACTTATATTGTCCTGACAAGGTTGTGTGTGCGAACGCAAGATACACGCCTGAGGAATTTGGGCCGAGCCCTGAGAAGGGCTCGACAGCGACGGTTACTTGTCGCTAACGCCTGTGCCTGGGACCAAATCGCCTCTGTTCACTTCTTGAATATGACCATTGGCGTTGCTTGGGCCGTTCCAGACGCTGAAAGATTGATATTAGATGTCCCTGGTGTGCGCTATTGATCCGATCGTTTGCGTTGTTCTGCGGTGTTCGTCAGGTTGAAGGTGATGCAGTCCCGTTGGTCGGGTGCCCCGTGGTATCCGGGGACCGCTAACCTCCGCTAACCGGTAGTGATTCGTGCCGGCACGCCAAAGCATGTGATCCAATCCGCAAACAAATGTCGAGCTACTGTTTCAGCGATGTCGGAAATAGGAATTGCTTCTGGCCATCTTGTGAATCTGTCTATTATTGTTAGACAGTATCTTTTTTCCTCTTGAGCAAGGAAGGGGTCCCATAATGTCCATGTGTATATGCTCGAAGCGTCTTGACGGCAACTGAAAGTTTCCTATTGGTGTGGTGTTGTGTCTGGTGACTTTAGCTTTTTGACATTGAATGCAAGTTTGTACCCATGTCTGGCAGTCCTTTTTTATTTTATAGTCTTGTCAAACCACTCGAGCGGATCGGACGCGTTCCCTCTCGTCTCGGGTGTTGCATCACCTCAATAATATTTTTGGAAAGCCTTGCCAGCTTTGACTGAGCCGTTATATCTCACTTTTACGGTCCCCTTATCCGTCTTGGCGCGCGGCCGTGCGGCGTGGAAACGTCGTAGCCGCAGGCGTCCAGTGTTTGAGGGGGCATTTCACCATTTTCATTTCGATTACATCATTTTTCGTATTATTCGCCCGGTTCGAGGTGGCCGGTCCATTTAAAAGAAAAACATACAGACGTGATCTGGCCGTATCGACCTCCTTTTATTATCTGGAGGCGGGAGCCATTAAGTAAAGAAGAAGAAGAAGTCCTTTTTTATCTGCGGTCAAACATATCTCTGTGAGATTAACTTAGCCGTGGCTTTGAACCTTGGATGTGACAATCCGTGTAAGTTTTGGAAGACCTGCCTTCGGAATTGTTCCATCACGTAAGGGCGTGATATCGGTGTACTTATATCGCAATACGGTTTTAAATCAGTACCTGATATCTGTACCTTCGTGACATTTATCATCTTCCCGTCTTCCAACAGTTTCTTGAGTTCTTCGTCCGTATCCTGGGCTCGTGCCGGCTCTTCGAAACTCATGGCTGAGTGAACCGCTTCCATGTCCGCTATTATGTCTTTCCCTGAAATGTGCTGTATGTTTGTGGTGAACTGGCTAATGTACTCAGTGTCGAGCTTGCCTCGAGGAACTACGTAACGGATCCTGGTTGAGCGCATATGTTAGCGGTTTGTGATCGGTATAGACTGTAAAATGCCGCCCTTATAAAAATTTTTCATCATTTTTAGCCCGTTTTTAGCCCGCGCGAACGGTTAATTTGAGTGCATTTTACTCAATGAGTACGACTCCGTTTTTAGGTCGCAAACAGGAACTTTTCCGTAAAAAAAAGTGGTTAAAACGAATTGTACTCATGCAGGACATGAGTATATCCGAGTGGTAAAAATGTATACATTACGAGTATTTTTGAGTGGTAAATACGTGTTATGTAAATTTGAGGTGTAAAAACGTATTTACGAGTGCAAAATACTTGTTTAGCACTCGTCACTCACATTGCACGTTTTCACCACTCGAAATTACGTAATTCGTAGTAAGGCATAACCGATAGCACGAAAAAATCAGCTCCGCTCCTGTCGAGATTCGAACCGAGGCTGGTCTCCAAATCTGCTCTACGAGGCTGCCACTTTTCCACTGAGCCACACAATTCCTATGTCGATATTCACTTACTTATGTACAGTGCATTAATTGGCTGGGTCATAGTAACGGCCCGACTTACCGAAAATAAGGAAATGCAGTACTAAAAAGTTGATAAAAAATTCTGAAAAGATTCTTATGCGGGGTCTACAATATAAGTCGTAGCAGTCGTAGGGTCTTAAGTCGTAGAAAATTGACCAATCATAGTCGATTATTCTTCTCATATTCTACTGTGATTGGTTAATTTTCTACGACTTAAAACTCTACGACTGCTACGACTTCTATTGTAGACCTCGCTTTTGAGTTCTATGAAAAGAAAATTAATGATTTTTGTCTCTTGCAGTTTTTCTGTAAAGTTGATAATATTTGAGTAAAAAATAAATGTCGATAAGTCGGGCCGTTACTATGACCCAGCGAATCAATGCACTGCAGTGTACCTCTTACATGAAAGACAGGGAATGGAAAGTTACTTTTTAAAAGTAACAAGTTACAGTTACTCGTTACCGAGTAGGAAAAGTAACAAGTTACCGTTACTAGTTACCGATTTTTAAAAGTAACTCGTTACAGTT